AAGGACTTCATCCACTGACACAGGAGTGTCCTCCTCCTGTCCTCAGTGTCCTGTGTCCTTTACACGTGTCTCTGGTCCAACACACCTGAGCTAAACTGGTTCTGGTTCTGCTGGTGGCCTGATTACCTGACTCAGGTGTGCTGAAGCAGAGGCAGCAGGACTGGAGACAGAAAACATGAAGTCATGTTTATGATCAGAGAAAGACTTACACTTTAGGGCGTTTACTGCAGTCTGGTAGTGGAACAGGTGGGACACCCGTTACTGGTTTCCGAAGCTTCAGCAACATGATGTCATGCCGCCAGCCTTCGGGAGCATAAATCGCAGGTTTCTTTTGGATTCTGGGAACTCTTTCTTTAGCAGTCAGTGGATGAATTTTTATTGTTGCTGCATTAATCCTGCAGAAAAGGTTAGATTATAATGAACACACAGAAAATCAGATGATTTGCAGATAAAACTGTCTTTGTGTCTCTTTCTTACCACCCAGTCTCCACCTTCCAGCAGGTATCTGTAGTCAGGATCCACTGAGGGTGGATCAGAGATCCTCCACACAGTCTCCTATGAGTACCCTTGCCGATCTCCAGCCGTACATGATAACGATGCTCCTTTTTGTCACAGTCATTACCTCCAATGATTCTCTTCTGCAGAGAAACAGCTGAGTTCACTGAAACACCTGGAGAAGGAAAAGGAGGATTTTACTCAGAAACCATGTACAAACATGGCTGCTGGAGCAGAAAAAGGATAAACAGTTAAAGATTAAAAAACATCACAGTTGATATGCAAAAAAGTTTCAATCTGAAACAGAATCAGAGGGAAGTTTGAGAGTCACAGAGAGCAGCAGCCTCCCTGCAACCAGTGGAAGTGTCTCCAGTGTGTCCAGTTTCCCCAGTGTGTCCAGTGCTTCAGACTCACCCAGCCCCAGCAGCATCAAAACCTTCAGCAGAGCCATTGCTGGTCCAGCTTCCTGTGAATGTCTGCAGTCCTGCAGCAGCTTTTAAACTGTTCACAACTTCCTGCTGGAAAGAAAGCCACCAATCACAGGACAGACACCGATCTGCGCGTCATCTGCATACAGAGTGACTTTAACATCTCATCGTTCTAAAGAAACTTGAAAAAAGTTCTTGTTCCATTGACAGATCATTTCACTAATATCCAAACATTTCCCCTTTTACATGTTAAATAATCAGCCAATGAAACAATAACTTTTTCATCAATATAAAGGAATTGACTTAAAATAAGAAAATCCTTTATTTTGCTGTAAAGTTAATTGTAAGTTTTGCCTTTTCTCAGGTGACAGAGATTTACACTAGAAACTAGATTTAAAATAATTGGCAAATTTTCTGCTTTTTCAGTGCAGAAGTTTGCAATGAGTTTTGCTCAAGTGAAAACTTGATGAAGAAGCACTGTTTACAAAGAAAGAGTAACTTGTTCTTGTTTTCAGCTTGATGTTTCTTTAGGAAAGAACTGTTTGGTTTCCAGTATACAAGAATTCTCATCTGTCCGCACAAGACAGTAGAATAATTTTTGTTCATTGATGAGCTGTGAAAACAACCCTCTGTACCACAGGTGTCAAACTCCAGTCCTTGAGTGCCACTGCCTTGCAACCTTTAGATGTGCCTCTGCTGCACCACACCTGAATAGAATAATTAGGTCATCAGCAAGACTCTGGAGGACTTATCTACACAAGGAGTTAATTTAGCCATTTCATTCCAGTGTTTTGTACCTGTGACACATCTAAAAACTGCAGGAGAGTTACCTTGAGGACTGGAGATGACACCCCTCCTCCACAAACAGACAAGGTTATTTTGTTATTTTGAATAATAACAATATTACATTGCTGGCTGGTGAAGAGCATTTGAATTTGTTGTAAATGCAAAATTTCAACAAAAAATTAAAACTCAGAAATTCACACAATCATCCATCCATCCATCCATCCATCCATCCATCCATCCATCCATCCATCCATCCATCCATCCATCCATCCATCCATCCATCCATCTTCTCCGGGATGAGGTCTAAGGAATAGCAGTCTAAGTAGGGAGGCCCAGACTTCCCTCTCCCCAGCCACTTGTTCCAGTTCCTCTGGGGGATTCCCAAGGCGTTCCCAGGCCACCTGGAAAACTTAGTCCCTCCAGTGTTTCCTGGGTCTTCCTCAGGGCCTTCTCCTGGTGGGACATGTCCAGAAAACCTCACCATGGAGGCGTCCATGAGACATCTTGAGCAGATGCCCAAGCCACCTCAACTGGCTCCTCTTGATGTGAAATAGCAGCAGCTTTACTTTGAGTTCCTTCCAAGTGACTGAGCTTGCCACTGAAAAGCTCTTTAATCACAGAGGCAATCTCGTCCCCAGCGATTGGAGAGTCCAACCTAGAGCCCCCAGGCTCCACTTCCTCAATGGAAGGCAGGTTGGTGGGATTGAGGAGGTCTTAAAAGTACTTTGTCGACTGGCCCACAACGTCCTGAGTCAACGTCAGCAGCACACCATCCCCACTACAAACAGTGTTGGTGCTGCACTGCTTCCCCCTCCTGAGACTCCGGATGGTTGGACCAGAATCACCTCGAAGCCATGCGGAAGTCTCTCTCCATGGCCTCTCTGAACTCCTCCCACACCTGAATTTTTTCCTCATCAACCAACCAGACCGCATGCTGTTTGGACTGCCAGTACCCAAAAAGGCCTGATAGGACTCCTTCTTCAACCTGACAGCATCCCTCACCAAAGGTGTCCACCAATGGATTCGAGGGTTGCTACCATGACAAGCACCAACAACCACAGCTCTGATATGTCGCCTCGACAATGCAGGCATGAAACATGGTCCTATCAGACTCCACACCCCTTTCTTCCCCCGGAACATGTTCGAAGTTCCCCCAGAGGTGGGAGTTAAAGCTCCATCTCACAGGAGACTCTGCCAGATGTTCCCAGCAGACCCTCACAACACGTTTGGGCCTGACCAGGCCTGACCGGCATCTTCCCCCACTACCAGGAGCCAACTCACCACCACTGGGCCCCATGGGTAAAAGCCCAGCCACCAGGCGCTCACAAGCATGCCACACCTCTAGGCCTTGCTCCAGGGTGGTGCTGTGGATGGCCAGCAGTTGGCAGTGTATTGTATGAAGCACTAGTGTCCACTTTAGTGGTTTGTGTGCATTTACACAATATAAACATAAGAAAATGGCTATTAGATAGCTGTCCACTGTCTGCTACGCAAGAAATTGTTTATATATAAATTACATGGTCTGAGATACTAACAGGTTGGTGTTTCTCAGTCATGAAATATATTTGGAGATCAACATCCTACCTGTGAGACACAGAGTGAACTTAGTTCCTGTCAGTTTTTCTCAGACAAAATGTGTAAGATCAGGACATATTTGAAATATTTTTTCAAAAACATGTTTAAATGATTTCATGTGGCATATTGTAATGACCGTCCAGCGCTAGGCTCCACTCAGCTCACCTTTCTTTGACACCAAGTGAAGCAAAGATTGTAGCGCGAGTTCTGCTTTATTTCCTCCTCATTCTGCTCCCTCGAAGGTGTTGGCCTGCCTTAATCAGTTTTTATTTGTGTGACTATCACCAGTCTTAAATGTTATGGTTATGTCAGTGAGAAGCCTTATGCGTGAGAGCAGATAAAGCAGATTGATAGGTATTTTCTCAAACCTACATAAAAAAGAAAGAACCACAGACAACGTATATGAGTTTTCAACCAAACTTCTTTAGAAGGAGAAGACACAGTGAACTGCTTCTCCAAGTCGCTCACCATGTGTTCTGCAAATCTTCAGTTGTCTCTTTTATTAGCAAGAAGGGTGTGAAAAGGAATGGAGAGGGTGAAACCCCACATCCTATCACAGTAGGATGTGAATTCAGAAACAAAGAGGGGAGACACAGAAATTTAATTAACACACAGATAGGTTTACAGCTCAGGAGTATCCCAGGAAGATCTGAGTCACCATCTGTAAAAACTTGAGATTAAGGAAAATCTAATTGTGTCTCCAGTTTCAACAAATTTGAACACTAAACTTCTAAATAGAAAAACAACTAATAACATAAAATTACAAATGTAAGAATGATAACAAACATAATTCTAACACAGATAGAGAAAAGACAAAGAGTCCTTTTGTCCATAACAGAGTGTTCCTTATGAATTTCTTGTAACATTTCTTGTCTATGAAATCACAAGATTCATAGTTTCTTTTAAGAAGGACATTTAGTTCCATTAGTATTTTTGTTTTCATGATGTAGCATCAGG